ATCTATCTGAGTAGACTCCAATCTCTCTTTCTGTCTCTCTCTTTTTTGCGAGCACTCTATTTCGTTACCTCTCTTTTTTCTTTTTTTTTTTTTTGGCTCTGACTTTTCATTCCTTCCACTATTGTTATGTTTTCTCAGATTCCTCTCACTCGCCTTTTCTGTCTTTCACCATTTATCATTCGCCATCTCTATCTTTCACCTTTACTTTCTCTCGATCTCCCGCTCTCTTACTCTCCCTCTCTCAGTCTCTGCCTTTCATGCTTTCCCCCTCTCTCTGCTTATCTTGCTTTTCTCTTCATATGTCTCTCTCTCTCTCTATCTGTCTCATTCTTTCCATAGCCTATCCCTTTGCTCTCTCTCCTTCTTTGTCAGTCACCGTCTTTTTCTCTTATCTGTCCCTCTGCCTCTTCTTCCCTCTCTCTCGCTCTCTCTCTCTCTCTATCTCTCCTTCTATATACTTATTTCTTTCACGTTAGTTTTCTCATTTTGTTTCCCCGCTCTATTGCCTTTTCTATCTGTCTCCCTCACTCTCCCTCCCTCCCTCCACATTTTTTCCCACTCTGCATTTGTATATATCCATAAATCCTTGCTAACGACCTCATATCTGTTAACGATAATTATAATTAGGAAATCTAGCGACAACCAACGGCCAATTACTATAGAGAAATGTCGCACATGTTGTGGCCAACACAAAGTGCTGTTATAGCTTATGTTTTATTAAACAATTGGCAGCACTGGCCATGTCGCGTCGCGTCGTGGCATCCACCTGCCATATGGACGACGCGTCGTCTGTGGTTTGGCCTGCAAATATTTTGTTTGAGACAACTTTGTGTTGAAATTCTTTTGCAAACTTTACGCAATTAAACGCTCTTCAAACTGAAGGCATACCAAGGTATATGTGTGTGTGTCTGTGGTGTGTGTAACGGGGTCAACTGCCCGCTGCAACGGTTTTTTCATCCTTTGCTTTCTTTTTTTTGGCTACAGCGCGATTCGACAACACGAAAGAGAATCAGCAGAAGTTGCAAAGTGCATTGGTTACTGTGGCAATAACACTCAGACTTTGTGGCATGCTGAGACTTTGCGGTTTTTATGCTTCACTAAATGAGGCTATCCAAAAACGTGAACGTGTGCCAGGCCAACTATGTTGGTGTGTGTGTGCGAGAGTGTGTGTGTGTGTGTGTGTGTGTGTGTGGGCCAGTTGAGGTGTTTGGGCGAAAGTTTTGTCGACATCTTAATTTCTCACTTGTAAATTGAGCTGCGCCAGCAACCGCAAATTAGACCCCAAAGTATACGTACTTTGTGGATGCCAAATATGGCCACACACACACACACACACACACACACGCGTGCACCTAGACAAAAACAAACACACACACACACACATACAGTGTAAGCACACTCATGTGTTAAACCAACAAGCACACGCATGTCGCTTCACACGGACACAGACAAAGGCGCTTACTCACACGCACACACACACAGATACTCAGCTTTGCTGTGTAACAAAGTTGCTGTGAAACAAGAGCCACACAGAGAGAGGGAGAGAGAGAGAGAGAGAGAGGGAGAGAGAGAGAGTGCAGCACATAGGACAGTCAAAATATTGAATTGACCAAAGAAATGCGATTAAATTGAGCTGGAATTTGTGATCAGCCGCGCAGAGTTAAAATAAGTTGAATATAATATAAATAGCCTTGCATTAATTGCAGATGCTCAAAGTACACACACACACACACACACACACACATGAGTGGGCTCAAGATAATTAATGATTTGCTGGCGATTGACAGGTGATTTTCTGAGCAATGCTGAACGACTGCCTGTCAGTTGAATACGATTTACAGTTAGGCAGAGCCAAAAGTCTATTAATAACTATGTAAATTTGCATAGAATGCCCATTTAATTATGTGTATTTATGTTTCTTTTACATCATCTATTATCATCAATTTGAGTTTTTTTTAGCATTAATTTGCTAGCAATTACAAATAGATAACATCGGGCCGACGTTGGCGGCGAAACGTGGGTTAAGAACCTGTCAATTTGCCAGTCGCGCATCGCTGAAATTTCCCAGCGGGCGGCGGCTGGCAGCCTCTTTTCACACTCAGTTCGGTCAGGAACAGAGAGAGAGAGAGAGAGAGAGAGAGATACACTCACACACACACTCACACACGCGCAGTGGCAGACAAACATGTTGGCGCTCATTTTACACCGCACACGTAGACAAACATTTACAAATGAGCGCTGAAGCGTGGGACACCAGACGCCGCAAATGCCTCAGGTGCCATCAGCTGGCTTCCAGTTGAAGTGCATGCTTCGGTGCCCCGCCCACTGCACGCCCACTGGCCGCCCCTTGCCCGCTCGGATTGCCATTTCCATTCTCGCTCGCTTTCTAATGCGTGCACAATTAGAGCCAGTTGCAGGCAAATTGTGATATTTAATTAAACGTTGGCCACACGCCGAATACTCTTTGCCGTATCTATGTGTGTGTGTGCACGCGTGTGTGTGTGTGCGCTTTATTCATGTGAGCTGCTTCCCATTTGGCTGGCGCAGCTCAGTCGAAAGTTAAATCCGAACTTTGTTGGCCTGCCCTCGGCCCCCATCCCCTGGCACAGTCAATAATTTGGCCAATGACGTGCAATTATTTGCCCAGCCAAGTTTTGAGGCAACTCAGCCTCTGACACCGCCATCGCCGTCGCCGTCGCAGTCGCAGTCATTGTCCAACCCAGCCCATCTCTGCCAGCAGCAAACACTCTCTGCCTCTACATCTGCCTCTACCTCAGCCTCTGCCTCTGCATCTGCCTCTACTTCTGCCTCTACCTCTAGCGCTGCCTCTACCTCAGCCTCTGCCTGTACGTCCGCCTCTACCTCAGGTTCTGCCTCGACTTCTGGCTCTACATCTGCCTCTACCTCAGGTTCTGCCTCGACTTCTGCCTCTACGTCCGCCTCTACCTCAGGTTCTGCCTTTGCCTCTACGTCTGCCATTACATCTGCCTCTGCCTCTGCCTCTACCTCGAATTCTGCCTCTACCGCTGCCTCTACCGCTGCCTCTACCTCTGCCGTTTTGCAGTTTCTCTGCATTCTTGCTGGCAACTGCTCGCGTGGCACGTACAAAGTTTGTCTACTTCGGCCAATGCGGAGCTGAAGCTGAAGCTGAAGTTGAAGTCGCAGTCGAAGTGGAAGTCGAATGATTCATGGCCGCTGCAATTTAGCTGCCAACTCGCGAAAAGTACCGGAAACGCATTCATTTTCCGCATTTTTCACATCAATAATAAAGTGCAACCAGACCAGCGCCAAGCGCCAAGCGCCAGCCAATGTCCATTGAGTGGCCCCTTCCCAAATGCTCTGCAGACTGCAGCAGAAGCAGATGCAGGGAGCTGAGAGCTGAGAGCTGCGAACTGAGAGCTCAGAGCTGCGCGCTGCCAGAGACAAGCCTAATTAAGTTTGCAACATTTATGACTTGTTAGCCATTGGCCCAAACACTTGGCTAACTAACCAACTGAGCTGAAACAGTTGCAACTGGGGCAAACCCTCAACCAGCACCCCCACCAGCACCCCCAAAAGCACCCGCACCAAGTCCCATCCACAGCCTCGGCCGATTGCAATTTCGGCTGAGAGTAAATGAGAAATGTTGAATGTAACTAAAGAAACTCAATTCATTTACCAAATGCAATTGACAGTTCGTCATTCCGAGAATTCCAATTAAAATTTGCTCCATTCCGTTTTGTCTCGTGTCAAAATGTTCCAAGGAAATTCAAACTTATTCATTCCAATTGGATTAATAATTAGTTATTCATGAGCTATCTGAGAAAAGAGGAATGCAACGTAGTTAACCTTTTCTATTTCCCTCATTTCATTCTCAATCATTCCTAGCTAAGCTCAGCAATTTCCTTCCGTTCCGTTCTAAGCCAGGCAATTCCACATTGTTCCACAGCTCCAAGTCGAAGAGATATTTCTCTTCAATAGCTTGCCCGTCCAGCCCATCGCATTCCCATACCCATTCCATTCCATTTCATTTCATGCCACAGCGAAACCTTTTAATTCCCGTTCCAGTCAGAGAAGAGCGAAAAACTGCTTCCATAAACTCAACTAAGCCAAGTAAAACTCCATTCATTTCACGCTTCGCCTGCCAGCAAATGCCCGACCCAAAAGATGTCGGCGTCATCTCCGTCTCTGCGCCCTTCTCTATTCTCATCCTCATCCTTATTCGCAGCCACATCCGTATCCCGTATCCTCGCTGTCCAGCTGCTACAAGTATTGAACTTTTCTGTACCGCAGTTGTCTCCGTCGACGGGGAAACGATGACAGTTGCGCTTTTTCTTCTACGCTTAGATTTATACGCAATTTTTTATGATTTACGAGACGGACTGAGCCACAGGCACAAGCTCATTTCAAGGTAATCTTTGGGCTGGCCAGCCCGGCCAGCTGGCCAGCTTAGCTGCCAAATCAATTTGCTTGCCAGACTGATGAGCTGGTCAAAGTCCATAGTGCGCCTCACTGGGCTAAACCTTTTCACATTTTCCCAGCTGTTCTGCTGCTGGTGCTGGCAGTCAATCCCAATCCCATTCACATTGTTTTGCCAGCGAGTCGCTGATAAGACACCGGCCCAGTCAGCAAACTCAGCGGACAGCGCACACCGGACAGACAGGCAGCCAGACAGCTGACCCGGCTGCTAACTACCCGATAAGCGCTGCAATGTGCGACTGCTGCTGCTGCTGTCGCTTCCTGCTGCTGCTGCTCCTGCTGCTGCTGCTGCTGCTCCTGCTGCTCGGACTGTTCATACATATTTCAGAGTCGTGTTTATGCAGCTTTGAACTTAACACTTTGCGACTTTCAGCTTGCTGGCGGTCATTAAAAGCGAAGCCGTTAAGCGGCTTAAGAGCACATTGCGCATACGCAGCGTGGACTTTATTAAACATAATTATAAAATACACTGCAAAATGAGTAATGCAATAAAAAAAAAAAACACACTACGAAAAAAAAACACAATAAAAATATTATGGGAACAAGCATGAACAAAGGTTGTACAATGCACCGCATTTGAGATAATCTCTAGAGCTAAATTCACTACATTACGGCCAAGCCCAGAGCCAGGGTAATCGTCGCCGCAGCTGCTCCCGCTGAATGGGACCAGCTGGGCGCTGCGCCAGCGCGCTGGGTGAGCGCCTCGCTGTGGTCCCGGGTGACGCGATCGACGACCTGCTGGCAGTTGGACTCCTTGCGCACGTAGCGGAACATCGACTCGACGATGTTGCTGGGCGTGATGTTGGTGCAGTTCTCCAAGTGGCGCACCACACAGTTCTCGAAGTCGTGCAGCTCGGTGCACTGGCGCGAGCCGAGCACCAGCTCGGGCAGCTCCACCGTCGATATGTTCAGCTGGCTGGGCATATAGTGGCCAAAGGACTTCTCCAGGCAGCGGCCCACATTGTCCTTGTGCTGCTCGAGGCACTCCGGCCCCTGCTCGGCAATGAACAGGGCTATCTGATCGCCGTTCTTGTAGCAGACAAAGTCCAGCAGCTTGCCAATGATGCGCTGCATCACGGCATTGTGCTGGCGCTCCTCGCGCGTCAAACAGGGCAGCAACACCGCATTGAAGTCCGTGAGGCACTGCCGGGCCTGGGGCAGGCGCAGGCAGTACTTCTCGAAGACGACGTCCAGGTCACCCAGTGGCCGCGCCCGCTCCACCTCGTCCAGCACGACCGTGATGTTGGCCAGCCCATTGAGGCACTCCATCAGTCGGCCGCCAGCCTGCTGGATATCGTCGCTCAGCTTCGTCGCATTCACCTCGCTGGCCGGCAGCGCGGCATTCGCCTTGGCGCACTTCTGTTCCAGCAGCCGCTGCAGGTCGGCCAGGCTGACGTTGGCGGGCCCATAGCCAGCGGGCAAGTAGTGGGCGCCCAGCTCATTCAGGTCCTTGATGTTGGACGCATTCGGCAGCTGCAGCTCAGCTGCGGCCAAGGAGCAGCAGCAGAGGCAGCAGCCAATCAGCGCCACGCACAGTGCGAGCAGCCGACGCGAACCATTCAACGTTGTCTCCATGACTGCCAGCTAGCAGCCGCGCAGTCGGCGCTCTCACTCCCAATCCCAATCTCAATGGCAGTCGCAGTCGCAGTCGCAGTCGCAGTCTCAGTCTCAGTCTCTCTGGCTATCGCTTATCTTATCAGCGGCCAGAGCCGACACACTTAAGAGGCTTCGCCTCAATGCGACTGCGTCTCGCGATTAGCTGCGCTGCGGTCAATGTACGAGATTATCACGTTGTTCGCGTCAAATAAACACGAGTGAGCAGTGCAGAACTATGCACACATATTCCATGCTCTATTCTCTGTATATATGTGTGTCAAACAGTTAAGCAAAGCAGAGCTGGAAGTTTTTTGGGGACCAACGCAGATTAGAGTTGAGCTGAGCTGGAATTTTGGGAATCGGAGATCGAGGGTTGACTGAAATACAGTTGGTTGAAATTAGAGTTTCTGTGCTACAAAAATAGAAATTGATAAGCAGTTAATTGGGTCTTCAAATCCAGCCCGTAAATGTAGTCCGCTCTGGCAAATCGAGCAATAAACAATGTGCTCCAGCCGCGATAAGCAGCAGTCAACGTGATCGAGCATTTGTAGATTGTATTGTTTTTTTTTTTTTTTTTTTTTTTTTTTTTTTCTTGGGATCGAACTTGATCCATAGTTCAACTCTCCAAATCAAAGCTGATAGCCAGCAGCCCCCCGATCTCCGATCGATTATCAGGCGAAGCGAGCCGAGCGATTCGACCTTAATTCTGAAATGCTTTCTGATTTCCCGGCAGGGCTGGGCCACTGTGCGCGCGCGATGTTTAGCTGAAATTTGAGCTGCAGCAGCTGCTGGCAGAGCTCGCATAGGGAAACGCAACACTGACTAACAACAACAAAGAAAAACAAACAACAACCACAAATGGCAAAACAGAAACAACAAAATTTAACAATTTATCTTCGTTTGTAACGGAAGTTGCAGCGCAATAAACAACACGGCAACAGGAGCGAGCGAGTGAGCGAGAGGCGTAACCCAAGGAGGCGTGGCCGTCGAGAATGGGCCAGGAAACTTTCGGTTGCATTACACAAAGAATTTTCGGGTTGCTGAAATAATACGGCAAAATTACAGCTAACTGCGCCTCGAGACGATTTCGCTGCAAGTGAATGAAGCGTACGAAAAGGACTCTAAAAAATGATGGCAATTAATTGTTGCTGCTGCTGCAGCTGCCTGGGCGTGGGCGTGGGCGTGGCACTGGTTGGGGGCTTAGCGAGTGTTGCCTGAGCAATTAGTGCGCTCAGGCATTTCTCAGAAAGCGCAAATTTGCATTTATCACAGCCGCAATAGCAAGTGGTGCGAGTGGTGCGAGTGGTGCAGCGGTGCAGTTGCTATAAGTAAAGTCCTTTCGAATTCCACTTGACTTGGGGTTTGCATTGCAGCAAAACTCAGCGCGAAACCTCAACTTAAGCTGAGCTTGGCTTTAGCAGCAACAGTAGCAGCCAAAATAAAGTGCACGCTTGACGTTTGACTTGACTTTCAATGAGGCCAAGTAGCACTCAAAGGCTTTTATTTAAAGTAGCTCGACCATTGCCATGGCTAAGCAGCTTGACTAGCTACAGTGGCTGCTGAAATTAAGTGCCTACCAGCCGCAACTCAGCAACGGCTGCACATTGGATCAACGTATTGGCTACCACTGTGTTGCTGCTGCATTTATCATTATCCGACACACCACACACACCAACAACACAGATAAAACATGTCGAGCTGATATCGACAATGCCAGAGTTAAAGTGAGCTCCAACAGTGGCTGCGAAAATAAAGTGCATGCCTTTCAATCAGCTTAAGCAGCAGCCCATCAGTAGTAATCAACTAACGTCAACCTTTGTCATGGCTAAGCCGCATCCAACTGACTAGCAACACTGGCATCCCAAATTAAGTGCATGCCAGCCTGAAATTAGCAACGGCTGCACAGTGGATCAATATGATGGCTGCAACTGTGCTGTAGTTGCAATTGCGAACTGATATTGACAATATCTGAGTTGAAGCGAGCTCCAACAGTGGCTGCCAAAATAAATTGCATACTTGACGCCAACAATCGCCATCCCACATTCAACTGACCAGCAACAGTGGCTGCCCCAATTAAGTGCATACTTAATGAGCTGTGCTGCAGCTGCAATTATCAGGATGTGACCCCCCCCCCCCCCCCCCACACACACACACACACACACAACTCAGATCAAACATGTCGACCTGATATTGACAATTCCTGAGTTAAAGTGAGCTTCAACAGTGGCTGCCGAAATTAAGTGCCTGCTCGTTTGTTGCCTGGGCCGCACAGTGGTCCGCCGGCGGCCATCACGTTTGCCTTCGGGCGTAATGCCATAATTTTAATGCTCAACTGGCACTGTAATTGGCGTGGAGCAAGTTTGGCAAATCCGTCGGCTGCCCAGAATCGGAAGTGCGGCCAACTAATTGCAGCTGCCAATAAATTGCAACTGTGCAGCCGATTCGGCAGTGGACGTCGCCGTCGCTGTCGGCGTCGACGCCGGCGTCAGCGTCAGCGTCACCATTTGCCAATTGCYTTTTCAACGTTTCCGTTTCCGTTTTTTGCAGTGCGTGTAATGCCATTTAGAAGATTACGATGATGATCATCGCTGATGAGCATTTGGCAAATGAAGTTGTTTTATTGTTACGCACACAATTACAGCAGCTGCTTGTTTGCCTCAGCTCTGTCTCTGCCTCTGTGTGTGTGTGCATGCGTGTTTACGTTTGCTAAATGGCACCCGTATTAGTATGTGTGTATATCTGTGTGTGCATTTCAAAGCAAATATTTCATTTTCATAATCAAGCGTCGCCTGAGCAGCAAATTGAAGCTCATGCAGAAATTCTATTATATGTATGTGCACATATGTATATACATAATTAAATGCACACACAAACACACACACCCACGCACACAGCTATGCACCCATACACCTGTCCTATATTAAGCCAATTAAATGCTGATTATTAAGGTACTCGAAAGCACAAACTCTGCGCAATTAATTAGCCCAAAATTTGAAGCTATTAAGCCAATACTTGAACGAAATGCAGATGGCCAACTATACATGTATCTATATACATATATACATACATACATACATATCTATTTCACATGCTTTGCTCTCATATGTGAACGAAAGCCGAAAGCCAAATGAAATTTCGTTGACAGCATTTTAAGAAGTTGGCTGGGGCATGACGTGGCTTTTATTGATGGCCGCAATCGATGCGCACTGTCCAGGCGGCAACAGCTAAAATCCATTAGGCAACGCATCGCAATTAAATTGAATACAAACCGCAAACACAAATTCCAAATGCCAAATGCCAAATGCCAAATTTGGCAAATGGATGCAAAATGCTCGAGCTTGGCCCGCGCCACAGATTATCGTAACGAAAAACAGGCCTGCGCCACTGGAACGACAACTGGAGCGAAATTTCATCGCCTCAACTGCCCTGAAAACGAAAACGAAAACGAAAACTATTTCGAGTGAATCGATATCAATGGATAGATAGAGCAAGAGTCGCCATTCGAGCTGCAGCACATTTTTTGTTGTTGCCATCAAAACAAACAAAAAAGAGTCAGAAATAAGCATATAAAACCATCTGACTTGGGCTGGATGAGCATAGTCAACTAGCAGGATACTCTGCAAAGCCCGGCTAAGCTCTGGAACCTAAATGCCTAATCTAAGTACTGTAGAAACAAGTGCTATTAGAGATGTAATAAATGATATCATATATGTAAAATAGTTTGTAATTAAAGCCTTATTCAAAAGAAATTAAAAATTATAAATATATCAAAAAAGATTCATTGAAGTTAAAACAAGTTGCTTATAAGGGTAGCACACAAAATTATAGTTATAAAAATATTTTTTAAAAATATAAATATGTAAAT